ATCATTGTGATATCCTCTTCAGACTTTATAGTTCCTGTTCACCAGCTCTCTGAGTTCCAGATCCACCCGCCTCAAACATGACCACAATAAACCTGTTAAACCTTTGCCTTGCTCTCTGAGTGGTTCTCTGCATTGTGGGTCAGATCCTTAAAGCTGTAGTCTGTAAGTTTTTAAAAATCACTTTTTTGTCATATTGGCTAAAACTGTCCCTATGCCCAGACAGCAGTACATGTGATATGTAACCTGTGAAAAAAACTGCTTCAATTGGTCCCGCATACTGCCTGTATTTCAATCTGGAAAGAGTAATTCGGGACGAGTCAAAACAACCAATCACAGCCAGAGGAGCGTCTGATGGAGTGTCAATCACAGCTCACACACGCTGATTCCCGCCCCAACACCCAGAACTGGAACGGGGCCCATTATCTGATCCGCTAAAGCCAGTCATCTCACGAGTTTGAAAACAGGGCAGTAACCCTCTGAGCGCTCCTCGGCTGAGGTGGGGGCGGGGACTCTTCAGTGTTGTTTGACCATGAATTGAACTTTAATCAAACTTAAATCTTTCCTAACACACAGCCAGTGAGCATGTGTTCACAACAGCAAAGGACATTCACCAAGTTATTTAATTTATTACAATGTTACAGCAGCATTAAATCGCTTAACAACAGCTCATGGGAAGAAAGCAAAACAAAACACTAAGACTCATTTTAAACAAGTTTATACTTGTCTTTTTGAAATGTGCAACAACAGGTGGGGCATTGATATGCATCTGACTTGGAACGTGCCTAGTAGGATGGGTCTCTATGTGCTTAAAGACCAGATTGTTTTACCCCTTAAAGAAGGGGAAAAAAGGAGGAAAAAAATGACACAGGGAACCATATCACAGCACACGAGTCCTCCCGGTGGATCCTTTAAGTAATAATGCTAAATTAAACCCTTTACCAAACAAGTAAATACATTAGATTTTGCACATTTTAAACCAAATAAAGAAAATTAAAAAATAAAATGTATAAAACTAACATATTCATGTTGAATAACTAATTGCAGGTTACATTTTTGACAAGATGGAAACTAAGTGCTGTCTAATAGATCATAACTGAAAAGTTTGTTTAGGATTTAGAATGTCTCGACCATCATAACGAAGTAAACGTGCCAATTAAATTGACATTTCTTAGCAGTGTCTCCAAAAACTTTTTTAATAACTGGCATCATTTGACTGGGCTGCTTCAGTTCTGTGTGGAGAGTAGGTAGTTATCTATGAAGGTTAGGGTTAGGCTTACAGGAGTAGTAAACAAGAGATTCCACATGCACTTGTTAGGGAATGGCTACTTAGGAATTATATACTGTATGCATATATATATATATGTGTGTGTGTGTTTTTGTTGCATCTTTCTCTACCATAGGGTGCCCCTGAGGCTGCTGCTGGGCCGACTGATGCATCCGCTTATCATCCAAAAGTCACCTCCCACAGGAGTGTGTTTGCTGCTGGCTGAGCCTGCAGCAACACCCATCTCGGTAGAAAAGACATGTAATTTTGTTCAGTATGCAGTCAGACTGCATTTGTGTATTATGATTCTGACATTCTGTGCCTGTGGATCCAACACCACTTACACGTGCTTCTCAACTATAGCTGTATACACTCACCAGCCACTTTATTAGGTACACCTGTCCAACTGCTCGTTAACACTTAATTTCTAAGCAGCCAATCACATGGCGGCAACTCAGTGCATTTAGGCAT